AGTCAGCAGTTTTATGACAATATATTTAAATATTTAAATTTAAATAATTATAAAAAATGTAGTCTAATTTTATTAAGACTGTGCAAAGTAAATAATAATATAGGTATGTAGTGTAAATATAATAAAAAAATAGTATTTTACTTTTATAAACTTTTTAATTTTGAACTTATTTTTCCTATTTTGTCGGATCAGGGTAAATTCTCCTTTCCAACTCTAAAATTTCCAACTCCAATTTCCTTTTTTTAATAGTGGCTATTTCTTCTTCATTTTTCTTCTTTGCATCATAATAGGCTGTTATAGCCCGATTTCTGGCAACCACAGATGCCTTAACATCACATGCAGCATTTTGGCGCTTCAATTTACCTAAGAAAGAAGTAAAGAAGTATAAGTTACTTTATCCACTTTAACCGACACCCCAAAATAAGTAATGTTATGCAAATCATCAAAGTCAAAATCAAAGTATTTATTTCAATTAAACCATAATTTGGTACTTTTGAAACGTCAACGAATACAAAATAAATAATAGTCTGTCCGTCAATCCGTCAGTGAAGCTAGGTGAAGCTAGGCGCTCATTCCTAAATGTAAATCGGAATGGAGAAGAACGGGCAAGAAACTCCATTCGTCACTCTTTTTAAAAAAGTATGTTCTACAATGTCTCTGATACATATTTCAATATTGTACGCATATGCAAGACAATGCAGACACGCTTGATTTTGATTGAAATCTTATAGTAACATACTCTTACATTCACCTTAATCATTACCCCTTCATGCAAATCATATACATACATCCACTTTAAACATTACCCCAACGTAAGTTATGAATACAGTTAAGTACATAATTCATATATCATACCTAACAAACTTACAATAAATATTTATACTAAAAACCATCTTCCAGAACCAGAACAAAACAATGTGTACGTGGCAAGCATATGGGTATGTAGCTTTGATAACAAAATTAATAGAATATGAATAGAAGAACAATTTAGAGTGATATTCCATTTTGCTCCTCACTACATCCACTATATAAAAGTTTTGTAATCAAACAGTATTGAAAAGTAAATAGTCATAACCAATACCAAATCCCAAAAATTAAATACACAAGGGTGTAAGCACAGACAACGATATTTTGACAGTTAAGTGTGGGAGAGCCATGCTTCGGCACGAATGGGCCGGCTCGACCGGAGTGATACCACGGCCTCACAGAAAACCGACGTGAAGCAACACTTGCATTGTATTTCGTCGTGTGAGTGAGGTTATCAGAGGCTCAATTACCCTCCCCTTCCCCAATCTCCCCGATTCCTGAATCCCCAACAATAGTCAAACTCCTAATTCCGCCTCTGGTGTTCCAGGTGTCTATGGGCGACACCGATTGCTTACCATCAGGTGATCCATCTGCTCGTTTACCGGCTTATGCCATTAAAAAAAACAAAATGTTTCACTATAACAATAGAAAGCGGTTAAATTGCATGCACCTTTGCTTGAAACCGATGAAAAAAATAACTTTGACTTCGGAGTATGTGGGGATAAAGCAGGTGCGACAGTGATTTGTTTAATGGTCTCTTGGTCCGATGCATCCAAAATGGCAGCAACTTTATCCAAAGCTTCATCTGGTGGAATGAATTCTGGTTTTCCACCTCCTGTCTGAAAATTGAGAACATAAAGAAATCATAATTAATTTCATATTACTTACATGGTTTCAGATGTTTGTTTCCATGCCAATAGCGACACAGGGAATCCAGGATAGGGATAGATACCTTTAGGTTATTCATTCTTATTTTAGTACTGCGTTTTCGGGCAGATTTCTTCAAATTTTCCCATTTTAATCTCAGTTGCTCTGGTTTTCTCGGGCTACTGGCTATTAATGCATTGAAACTATCTGTGATAATACTCCAAGTCGCATCCTTGAGCAGGTTATTGCTTGCATTTGTGGCTTTGCTGAACACCACTGGATTTTCCTCAACTAATTGTACCAGCTGCATTACTTCTTCTTTCGTCAATGGCATACTCTTTTGCTGCAATGAGTGCACCAAACATTGAGTTTTTAGTCACAACATGTAGTTCACGTAAACAAAAAAAAATATACAATAATCCAAGTAAGTAAAAAAGTTCAGTGAAAGCCACAGAACTGTAAAACTTCAATAGATTCGATCTAAAGCTAGAAAATCACAAAATGTAATACTTACCGAGCTCATTTTTCTATCAAACAATTCTTTTCTATAATAAGACAATTTTTTTTTCCTTCCTTTGGCAACCGAAGACAATATAGTGTAAACAAAAAACAAAATCAACAAACAACAATGTCAAATGTCAATGTTTTAACAAATACGTTCCGTTACAAGTCGCGTACTATTCCAGTCGATTAAACTTAAAAATATTGTTTATCATAATTATAATTGCTGCAAAATATAAGGTTTTGTGAATTAATTCAAAATGACAAGATGCTTTGAAAACATTATTGTAATTTAGTGGCACTCTGTGGGGCTCTGCATACAATGAAACGTAAGGGAGGGCTCAGATAGGCACAGATAGGGCTCAGATAGATAGGTAATTTATTGATATCTGGAGATAGCAAAGACAAGAAAGAAATATAGATAGCTTTTAACTGACTATCGAGATCGAGAGCAGGTTTCTATCTTTATCTATGGTTTTAATATTGGGGGCCGATTTTTCCAACGCCAGATAAACAACTTTGAACATGGAGTTTCTTGCATGTTATTCTCCATAGGAATCTAAACCTTGGAATGGGCAAATAGAGTCACTTAATTTTTTGTTGACGTTCAAAACTGCCATTCTGGTATTTGAAACAAAAGATTTTGACATTGACTTAGAACTTTTGACAATTCTTCCATACTAAAAACTGTCAAATGTCAATTGTATTGTACAATATGATTGAAAAATGAGCCTTCAATAAATCATCATCATCATACAGCCTATAATTCCCACTGCTGAGCAAAGCCTCTTCTCACACAGAGAAGGTTTGAGCATAACCACACTTACTCAATGCAGACTGGATATTTTAAATTCATTATTTGTTATTAATATAATAGTCGTAAGTACCTATAATAAAATAATACTTACATAAATTTAACAAATCAAAGTTCAGGAGCTAAAACGTCATTTCTACGTATAAAATGTACATAGAAGTGACGTCACGCGACATTTCAAATCAATTTTATCTTTGAAACTATACGTTTTCGTAAGTGAAATAAAAAATACATGTCCATTATTTAAATAACCCACCAGGCGGACATTAAAATAAAATTTAGGCATCATTAAAATCCGGAAAAAGTCACATGGGTAGGTACCCATGTAACTTTATTAAATTATTACACGAATTCGAAATCGAGCAAGCAGGTAGGTAGGTATCTACTTTTATGTCCGATTTCAAATTCACGCTAATCTCCGAAACGAAAAACCGATACGGCGTTCAAACCTTTAAGAAAAGAGCGTATTCCATTTTATTTATTTATTGCACACTCATTACAATTGTCATTACAGACTAAGTCTAATGCAACAAAGTAATTTTACAATAAAAAAATTCACTTTTTGAAAAGTCGGCAACGTATGTACCTGTGGTTCCTCTGGTGTTACAGGTGTCTATAGGCGGCGCTGATCGCTTACCATCAGATTCAGATGATCGATTGTTTGCCTCCTATTGCATAAAAATTGTGTTGTATTGTACCGCTTGTATAATGGGTTGTGTTCTGGGGAATTATTTGATATGATGCCCACGGCCACTTTCTATCATCGCACCGGTCGCCATCGACAGGGAGTTCACGCTCACGAATTTTTTTTTTTTTTTTTTTAAAAAAAATTGCCCCACACTAGGATATTCTCCTGTGTCGTGGGTGCGTTTACAAACATACAAGTTCACATACACAATGACACCCAGACCCGGAACAACAATTTGTGGATCACACAAAGTGTTGTTCCGTGCGGGAATCGAACCCGTGACACGTTGCACGGCAGCCGGTTGCCCAGCCACCGCACCAACCGTGCAGTCAAAGCCAAAATTGGAGCCCAAATGTTCCCGTACAGTTCGGTTTCAGAGGAAATTTCTCTCACGGACCCTCCGATTGTGGAATGAACTCGCTGCCGTGGTTTTCCCAGCGGGCTACAACATGGGGTTCTTCAAGAGGGGAGTGAATAGGTTTCTTAAGGGTCGGCAAGATGCATGTAATGCCCCAAGTGTTGCAGGCGTACATAGGCCATGGTAACCGCTTACCATCAGGTGGGCCGTGTACTTTTTTGCCACCGTCGTGGTATATAAAAAAAAATCTACTCGTCCGAATTGAATAATTCTTTTTGTGTTTGATAGCCCATTTATTGAGAAAGGGTCTAGGCAATAAAACGTGTGGCTACAGTTAATAAGAGCCGAGCAGCGGACGAAACCGCGCGACAGTAGTATATTTCACTAATAGTTGAAACTGGAAATAGCAAGCCGGACGTTACCGTCTGGTTTAAATTTAACATTTCAGTTAAATACACTAATAGATGTGTTATGGATATGATTAATGGTATCTTCACGACTATTTTCTGTTTAGTGTAAGCTGGGATAGATGTCTGTCTATTTAACTAATGGAGGGTTACCTGGAAATCTCAATTTTAATGAGATTATTTGGTGTATGAATTGAGACTCAGATTCGATTTCTAGACTGGGCGATATATTGATGGATGGCTTTATAATATGTATCAAACTATTATTTAAAGCGGAAGAGTTTGTTTGTTTGAACGCGCTAATCTCCGTAACTACAAGTCTGATTTGAATAATTATTTTTGTGTTGGACAGCGCATTTATCGAGGATCGCTATAGGCTATAAGCTAGGCATCAGCCCTGTTGGGCCTCATCTGTGGTGGTCTGATGGCTCCTTGAGGCGCGCGCGGAACGCGACGCGCCGTACGCACGGGCCTGGTTCAGGTCGGGCGGCGAGTTACCCGTGCCCGCCGTACGCAGGCCCGTGCTTACGGTGGTCGAAGGTCGTCTCGCGATCCCCTACGCCCGGAGTGTCTCTTCCGACGGCTGGGATGTTAGGAAGTTCGTTTCCTCACACGCCTCGCCTCCTTCTTAGCTAGCATGACTGCTTCGCAGAAGGAGGAGATGGCATCCAAGTCCCCCTCGCTCCGTATCATGGTCTGAACCAGAGCCGGACGCAAGAGGTCACCGTCGCCGATCACATCTCTGAGGACACAGCGGTGCTCAGCGCACGCAGGACACACCGCCACTGTCTGCTCCACTGTGTCCTCCGGCGGCCCCCGCAGTGATGACACCCCGGTGGTTCCTCCCGCGTAATCCGAAACAGGAATCTACCGAAACTTCCAAGTCCGGTAAGCACCTGCATCAGGTGGTAAAGACCCCATAGCGTCTCTCAAGCCACTCCTCAAAGAGGGGACTTACCGCTGCAATGACAACGAGCCCAATCCGTGGTGTTCTGTCTGATGGCTCTTTGAGGCGAGCGCGGAACGCGATGTGCCGTACGCTCGGGTGTTATGATGTGATTGAGGAAAAAACATACACACAAACTTTCGCATTTATAATATTAGTACCTACCTACCTATGTAAGATTATGTGACAATTAAAAAAAAAACGACTTTTCTATTCCACACGAAACAATAGCGTTGTCTTTGGTTCTTTTTATTTATTTTTTAAATATAAAACCGTGTTCGATTTCTGAATGTATAGTTTTTTGTCTGTTCCCGCGTCTGTGTGTTTGATACTGGCATGGCCGATTGTTTCGAATTTCAAATCGTTACCGTTATTTTTTAACAAAATGGCGTTTGGTGGTGATTTTGTTACATTTGTTTTTTAGATGTTTTGGCAGCTTGGTAACCGACGTGAATAAAAGGAGGTTCCTTCTCAGTTTGACTTGTATATATGTATGTTTGTTCGTGATTATCTCGCAATTGGCTGAACCGATTATGATGTGGATTTCAAAAAAGTGTTTGTTACATGTAGGAGATAGTTTAAGCATTAATTAACTGACTTCAAAGAAGTGGGGATTGAAGTCAGTTTTTTTAAGGTAGTTTATATAGGAAGTATTTTCTATTTAATGACAACAAAGATAATTGGGATGATGACAGGGTATGAAAATTAAAAATCTAATTAGTCCGTAAGTTAGGCAATGAAAAAAAATTAGACACGTATTTTTTTATTTTTTTCGTAGGTATAATAAAACAATACTTAGATAAAACGAATCAAAGTTTAGGAGCCCCACTCCTAAACGTCATTTCTACATATAAAATGTACGTAGAAGTGACGTCACGCGACATTTCAAATCAATATATCGTTGAAAGTATTTGTTTCTGTAAGAAAATAAAAAGTAGGTTTCTAATGATTTAAAATAATCTACCAGATGGACATTAAAATAAAAATTAGGCATCTAGGTACCCTATTGGTGAATAGTGGATGTTTAAAACAATTAATTTTTACTTTTCGATAATTATAGTATATGTATAATTATGGTTTTGTAATATAGGAATATAATAATATGTATTTCTTTTTAAAATTAGGCCTAAATTTCCAAATTGGATACCATTTGTTTGTACCTAGACATTGAACGTTAGACTCAATACTCAGGTAACTACTTATATAACTTAACATCACGCCTTTTATCCGCAAAGGAGTAGGCAGAGGTGCAGGTTACGGCGCTTAATGCCACTTTACAATGTAACACCTACTTTTCACTATTTATGTTATGAGTCCCATGTACTAGGGGGTGAGCCTATTGCTATATACCGGGCACAATTCGAAACTCCGTGCTACTACTGAGAATATTTTAAACTCAGTAGTAGGTACTTTTTGAACCCGAATCTCTTTGCTCGGCAGTCGCACTTGCGACTACTCGGCTAACGAGGCAAACTCTCAGTTAACTAACAGGACAATAAACAAGAACACACTCAATAAATGATAGGTACATTTTAATCCTTGTCCAACAATACATAAATACGACCTTTACTCCAAACACATAAGGTCCATATTCACATAACTAACTTTACTGACTGTACCACAACAATACTGTCAAAGTCAGACAGTCAGACAATCAGATACCATAACATTCTTTGTTCAACAATGTCAGGAAAGTGATCTAAATAAGAAATTAAAACTGATTTCGTTTTAGACCACTCATTAATGAAGTTGGAGATGCTAATGTGACAGATGACATGTGGTAGAAAAATGTCAGAAGTACTACTCTGCCAGGGAGGCTCCCTTTTATAAATTAAATAGCTACTTCCGCGCGGTTTCACACGCTCAGCTCAGCTCCTATTGGTTTTAGTGTGATATTTTATAGA